CAAACAGTTTTTAGCTGCACAATGAATTTGTGTGCACACTTAAAAAAAAAAAAGTTCAATAGGACTTTAAGCTTGATGTTAAAAGTTAAATTTCTTAGAGACAAGATTTTCTGATGATAAGGGTGTGGTATATTAGACACTCAGATTATCCTGTCTGTGTGTATAGATAAGGTATATGATGCTAATTTGGCTAAATGCCCAGAAATGGCTGAGGCTTATCACATTTAAATAACTTTTTTAAGTTAATATATAAAAAAAAAGTATATTTTAAATTGGAATCAGTTCTTTGAGGACAGAAAATACATATTTGGGATGAATGCAAATACTGAGCATTAAAACTGATATCGCTTTTTGCATATTAATGTGGATAATTCCTTTCATTTGCTTGGAATAAAATACACCTTCTTTGAGAATTGTCTATTTAAGAAGCAGTTAGCCCATTTTGATTCTAAAAAAAATCTTTACCACCTTTTTTTCAGATGTTAATGGAAAATCCAATTAGATGTTCCGTTGATGGAAAAACTGATTGGAAAACCTGGGGTATGATGTAAATGGAAAGTCCCAGGGTAGCGTACCCCAAACTCTCCACCTGATTGGAAAAGGCTTACAAAAAACAGCCTAAAGACAGTTAAACACCATATTATTGGATTCATTAAGAATAAAAGTCCAAGACACAGCAGTCACCCAACCAAGCCAAGGAGGATCGTGTGTTCTGTCTGCTAGAGAACATACCCAGAAGAAAGAGACCAGATGATTTTCAAAGGCATTTGGAGGGTTTAAATAGGGCTATTAGTGCTTGAAGCTTGACGAGTCTGCAGAAAGAGGTCAATGACTGGGTGCCCTTCTCTGTCCTCACTAAAAGACTTTATAAATGTGTTTATTTTTGGTGTGTGTGTGGCCTGGTAGTGAAGGTGGTTCATCTAGCGCTTGCCTTATTACTTTTTTGCATCTCTTAAATTTGTTTAGGTGACATCCTAGAGCAATATAGTTACTTGTCATTTACAGTAAATGTAATGGATTTCTTTAGTGTGGCTACCCTTTACCTTAGTGACATAAATTTTAACTGTGTTAGCGGACCTTGTAGCCTCTGATGACAAGTACTATGTTATCTGCTGAGCAAAATACATTTCAGACAAAAGGTCAACCCAATGGTGCTGTGACGTTCTTTCACGTCATTTTGTTTGGTGTCAGAGAAAGTCAGGTATTTATAGAATGCCCACGAGAGAGCCAAGCCATTTTACAGAGCCTATCTACAGTATATTTGATCTTACAAAGAAGTGACCATCCTCTAGTTAAATCACAGTAAAACCTCAGGGAAAGAAACCTTATCTCACTATCAACCATCCTTTAAGTGCACAGACACCGTTCTCCTCCAAAATGATAAAGGCACTTAGGTATCTAGTCAATCTACCAAGCTGTTCATTAAACAGCAAAGTGTCAACAGCACACCCAATGTCATCCTTGTGCTCGTCCCTCCGGTAAGCATGAATTCATTGGCATTATTATGTCCAAATATGTAAATCCAAGAACAAAAATGGTATATATTGCTACTTACCAGTGTGGTAGATGCATAGGTTTTCTTATTTCAGACCTTTTTCCCCTTTATTTTCTCCTGATGATTCTGCCAGTAACATATTTCCTGTCCTAGGTTGACATCTATGGAGGAGCAATGTTGACACTCTAGGGTAGGAAATGTGTCAAGACTACAGGCAGGGTCCTTCTTTTCATGCCCCTGTCTCAATATGAATGCTTCCTATTGACTGCCCAGTGCTGGTGTCCTCTAAACTTGCAGAAAAGAGTCTGCAGGGAATGACGTCAGCACAATGGTACTGGTTGATCATAGGCACATCTTCAGCATTGGATTACCAGTCCTCCGCACCTGGAAAAGGCACTGGCAAAGGACCCAGCGTGCCAACATAGATGAAAAATAAACTCTCCACTTGAAAACTTGAAAAACCCTGTAGAATAGGCTATAGAGAGGGGCAGAAGGAAAGTGCGGGAGGGGGGTTAATTTTTGCCCAAAGACAGGCTTTAAATCTTAATTGTGGCTGTGGTCATTTATGGGTGTGTGTGTGTGTGTGTGTGTGTGTGTGTGTGTACAATATGTATGTGATATAAACTGAATAAAAAAGGGTATTAGGCAAAGAACCTACCTGGCAAGAATTGGCAGATATAGTACCTAGAGCAATAAGGGCATTGTGTTGAGCATTGACTGTGATGGTTGCAGTTGAATTAGAAACTGTTGTTTTCTAGTTAGATAACCAGAGGGTGGTAACACATAGAAGATTAGTGTGTTTTGCACAAGTTTTACGTACAGGGAGACAAGCCAGGTAAGATGTTGGCTGCCAGATTAAAAGATGCGGGCCCCAAACGTACCCCGATACAATTGCGAATAGGCAGGGATGTCTTGACTTCCCATCCAGTTAAGATTTTACAGACTTTTCAAACTCACCTCCAAACCCTCTATAGTACTAAGGGACAATTCTCTCCACCGGCCTTGGAAGCTTTCCTGACAAACATGAATCTTCCTACCCTAACGGAGGAAGCTAGATCAGATATTGATTCGGAAATTACACTTATGGAAGTCCAGAATGCCATTAAAACGCAAGCCACTGGGAAAAAGCCGGGCCCAGACGGCGACACGGCCCTTTACTACAAAAAGTTCTCAGATGTACTTGCCCCTCATTTGGTTAAATTTTTTAATGACTTACGAAAGGGCCTCCTACCACCTAGAGACTCTTTGGTCTCTGCCATCAGCATGATCCCAAAGCCCCATGCCGATCACTCATCTTGGGAAAATTATAGGCCTATTTCTTTAATCAATATAGACATGAAGCTGCTTACTAAAATATTGGCTCTCAGGTTGAATTTATATGTTAATGCCCTGGTGTCCAGGGACCAGGTGGGCTTCATGCCTGGACGTCAAGCCGGAGATCACATACGTCGTATATCCTTGATCCTCCACATTGCTCGCTCCAGGCATATACCACTTATGTTATTGTCCCTGGACATCACTAAAGCTTTCGACTCTATTGACTGGGACTATCTAAGGGGGGTGCTTCGGCATTGGGGCTTTGGACAATCGTTCATGAGATGGATAGACTCCTTGTATTCTATTCCTTCAGCATACGTGCAGTATCAGGGATTCAGGTCGGGGACATTCCAGATTTCCAGGGGGACCAGGCAGGGATGCCCGCTCTCCCCTCTCCTGTTCGCCCTGGTGATCGAACCCTTGGCCCAAGCTGTCCGCATACATAAAGAGATCCACGGCATTGAAGTAGCAGGGTACCAACATAAAATCAGCCTATTCGCAGATGATGCACTTCTAATGATCTCCGACCCCCTTAAGTCACTGTCCTCACTCTCGCCACTGCTACAACGATTTGGAACTCTATCAGGCCTACAAATTAACCCACTCAAAACGAAGGCACTAAACGTATCCTTACCACCTGCTTTATATGACTCCGTAAAGGCCTCCTTCCCCTATACATGGGTACAATCCGCGCTCTCCTACCTGGGGATACATTTAACCCCGACGTATGACACTTTATATACTGCTAATTACCCTAAATTATTTGCTCACCTGACCTCGCTCTTGAACTCCTGGAACAAACACCGTATCTCATGGCTAGGAAGAATCACAGCGGTGAAAATGTCTCTTTTGCCGAAATTTTTATACTTTGCTAGAGTGTTACCCATCCCGGTCCCAGCATATAGGATGCGCCTACTCCAACGCCAGATCCTGAGATTCATTTGGTCCGGTTCCATCCCCAGAGTTGCTAGGACAGTATTGTACAGATCCAAACTGAAGGGGGGCCTGGGACTCCCTCTCTTCCAGAAATATTATGCAGCAGCTCAGATGGTTCCCCTCCTTATGTGGCATTCAGAGAAAGAGATTCCCTTATGGGTCTCATTGGAGGCATATCTGTGTGATCCCATTCTCTTAAGGAATTTGCCGTGGCTGCCTCCCAAAATGCGGACCACTGTCACCTGCCCTGTCACTAAACACACTCTCCGCTTATGGGATACCCTTAAGGCCTCACAGCGATGGATATCCCCGCATATGCCTCTTCTTTTTCTACAGGGGAATCCCCTGTTCCCTCCGGGTTATGAACATCCCTCAGCTTTTCGTAAATGGGCAGCTCGATCTTTAGCTCAAGCTAGACATTTTTATACAACTGAAGGGATTGTATCATTCACGGAATTACAGGGGAAACACCAACTCACATCCAGGGATCTTTTCCAATTCATGCAAATTACACACTTTTTGAGGCAGTGCACTGGACCGACCAGGGACCTGACGGTTATGACCCCGTTCGAACAATTAGTGACGCTTCAACCTCAAGGCCCAGGTCTCATATCACACTTATATACGTCCTTGATGGACTCTCTACAGACTGATCTTCCCCCCTATGCCCTCAAGTGGGAACAGGAACTGGGAGGACCTATTGGAGAGAATGGTCCCAAATTTGTAGCACGACCTCAAAAAGTTCTTCATGTGTACGGGCGGTGGAAGCAAATTTTAAGATCTTACTGAGATGGTATCTGGTTCCTCTGCGAATCGCCCGTGCAGTTCCCTCCAGATCCCCATTCTGCTTTAGGGGTTGCCAGACTGACGGGACCTTCCTCCACATATGGTGGGAGTGCCCCAAGATCAGGCGGTTCTGGTCTAGGGTGTATCAGCTAATTTACACGGTAACAGGTCGTTCCTTCCGTAAGGATCCAACTGAGGTGTTGCTCGGGAAGAAACCGGGTTCATGCTCGTGGACTCAATTTAAACTAGTCACTTACATACTAACAGAAGCCAGGAGAGTGATTGCGCGCTCTTGGCGTACTACCTCGGTCCCATTTGCAGCAGTCAAACCAAGAGTCTCACAGATTATGTTCCTCGAGAAACTGTCGGCTATCCAGTCAGACTCATTGCCCAAATTTGAAAAAATATGGGAGCCCTGGGTTGTCTCCTATATGCCCCCAAATTTCCATTTGGATTCACTCACCATTTAACTCTCCGTCAGACCTGTAGCCCCTGTCACCCATCCTGCTTTCTCCCCTTCCTCCCTCTCCATCCCCTCTTCTTTGAACTGTGTCTCCTTCACAAGTTTCCTGTGTTCAGGCGAAGCCTGAAAGGTGGTGTGACCACTGCTCTATAGTTTGTAATAGAAGACTGATTAACATACACTGTGTGACTAGGTGTGTGCGGTCTATTTCCTGCGACATGCATAACACAGATTGTAATGTGCTTAAGTCCTTCTTGATTTATAGGGCTGTATGTACATCCTTGATTTCATTGTTTATGATGTTTATGTAAGCTGGAATTTCTTTATTTCTTTATTTTGGAAAACAATAAAAACTTTTGAACAAAGAAGATTAGTGTGTTTTGGAATGTAGTCAAAGGTTAACCCCTTGCTAACAAAATTGTACTGAATTAGTGCAGATATCAATGCTACACTATCACAGGAAGCTACATTAAGTGGACTTCTTTGGCAGACTCAACAGGATTTTGTGGGAATTTTCAAATGAAATAAAAGTATACTGTCAGTGCAGATGCATCTGTAATTACGTTGTTTTTTATTTTATTTTAATGAGAAGTCATAGTTCCACTGTAAACCTAAAATGGGTGGTACAGATTAAATATATGAAATGGTCTCTATGCCAGTTCAAGTTTTAGACATCAGCCACTATTCCCAGTACAGTGAAGATCTTATTGACATATCAATCAGGAGGCCACCGCAGAGATGGCTATGTTTGAAAGCATTGGTAGATGAGACAGATATACTTGAGAAGGTTACAGATTAGCTACAAGAAGATAAAGTTTGGAGCCTGGGAAGAAAGGTCAGATCATTGGAAAAAAGCAGTTAGGTGAGGGAATGATACAATAGGAAAGAGGGTTATCAGGGAATTATCATATATATTACAAAGGTTTGCCAAAAGAAGAAGGGATACTTTATTATAATGGGTTATAAGAATTTGGAATTTGGAGGGAGTGATGTAATAACAACACCTGGTTTAGTTATAGAATTACAGGATATCACTAGACATTTCCTACTGAAGTTTAATTTTGCTTGTGCTAATCCGTTGGACCGGAACCATCAAGGAAATATATTGCTCATATCTATTGTGCCCCATATAAATTACTGGGCATTCTAAATTGAGAAAATATAGATGAGAGGATAGACAAACTCCTGAAACTAGGGGCAGTATCATTAATTACTTATATTTACACAAAGGCAAATTGCCCCCATATGGTCAAATTCATATGCGCCCCTGCATATCAATTATTGTGTATTGGCCATTGTGTACAGACAAAACTTTTGTAAGGTTTTTCTGTGTACAAATGGCCAAATACAATATTTAATTCAAGGTTTAAGTTTTACATTAAACAATAAATGTATTTGAATCTTTATTCTCTTATGGTAAGGGTGGTAGATTAAACACTCAGTACAGGGTCTGTTTGTCTATATAGATAATCTATAAAATGCTAATTTGGCCAAATGCCCAGATTTGACTGAGTCTTAGGTTAAAAGATAAATAAGTCAGTTTAAAATAGGAATTATTTATTTGTTGACAGAAAATTATTTATTTTTGCATTATGATGTAGATGTGATTTTTTTTGCAAAAAGTGTCGTTATTTCTTGAAAACGTAGTTACCCCATTTTGACTCTAAAAAAAATGTTTACCAATTTTCTCCAGATATTGACGGAAGATCCAATTAGATAACCTGGACTATGAAGCAAATGGAAAATGTTCCAGGGTAGGATCAATTAACCCAAATTAATCAACCTGAGAAGGAGGAATCTTGCAAAACAAAACATAGAAAATGACTTAGGCCTTGTGATTGGGCAAAAAAGGGGAGAATCCCCAAGACACAGCAGACGTGGTCACCCAGCCATGCCAAGGTGGAGCAGGTGTTCTGGTCACCAGATAGCATACCAAGAGAGAGGGGACCAAACCATAACCAAATGCATCTGAAAGGTTCGGTCAGTACTTATGGAAGTTGACTTTGCAGGAAGAGGTCAGGGGTCGGGTGTCCCACTTTATCCTTACTATGGGGGAGGGTGGGTATAAGAACCTACTGTATCACAGAGGGTAACCCGTGCCTTTATCATCTAAGAGGAGTGAGTACAATAACTCATTGTGGTACAGGGATATGGACTAGTGCCCTAGCTGAATGAAGAAGATTATTTCATCCATTTGCAAATTAATAATGTTTTTCATTACATTTTCATTTTGGAACATTTCTTACACCTACCATAGTTACAGTATAGCATGCACTACATTGACCAGAAGTAAATATTAATTATTAACTTACATAGTTTGAACATCACAGCAGCACAGTGGCATGGTGGTTATCACTTCTGCCTTACAGCACTGGGGGTCCTTGGTTCAAATCCTGGACAGGTCACTATCTGGAAGGATTTTGCATGTTCTGCCTGTGCTTGCGTAGGTTTCTTCTGGGTACTCCGGTTTCCTCCCACACTCCAAAGACATGCTGACAGGTTATTTGGCTTCTGTCTAAATTGTCTCTCCTATGTATGCATGTGCGATAGAGACCTTAGACTATAGGCTCCTTGAGGGCAGGGACTAATGTGAATCTGCACTGTGTAAAGCACTGCCTAAATTGTTGGCGCCATATAAATACCTGTAATAAATAAATAAATGACGCTAGCTGACTGTATATGCAATTTTTTATTGTTCCCTCACAATAAGAGTTACATCCCTATGTCCATACATCTATGCGTTTAATGCATGTTAAAACGCATGAAATCGCACTGTGCATTGCACGTTACATGCATTGATCTGTTGCAGTACCTTTTATTTTTAATAGAAGAAACAAGATGTCACTAGCACACCACAGAAAAATGTCCAAGCAAAACATCTTCTATTGACACATATTGTCAAAATGATGGCAACTTTTCGGGGCCATGCAGGGTCCCTTCTTCAGGCACAATATGAGCCTGAAGAAGGGACCCTGCATGGCCCCAAAACATTGCCATCCTTGTGACAATATCTTTTGTTTTCTTGAATCACTGTTTAGTTTTATTTTTTTGTTGTTGCTGCTGTCTATGTTCCATTGGGGATAATTTCCTTCACTTCCTATCTCAGAAACACAACAGGAAACTAGAGGAAGTCTCTTTAAAGTAAAGGAAATGATCCCTTAGACAGATGTCACTGAAACAAGGGTATCCTTTGGAAGATTCCTCTCTATCCCTGTTCTGATGCTAACTCTGTCTTTTGGCATTTTTCCCGATTTCAGTGGCCACCAGTACAAATTGATTTTTTTAATAGAAGAAACAAGATGTCACTAGCACACCACAGAAAAATGTCCAAGCAAAACATCTTCTATTGACACATATTGTCAAAATGATGGCAACTTTTCGGGGCCATGCAGGGTCCCTTCTTCAGGCACAATATGAGCCTGAAGAAGGGACCCTGCATGGCCCCAAAACATTGCCATCCTTGTGACAATATCTTTTGTTTTCTTGAATCACTGTTTAGTTTTATTTTTTTGTTGTTGCTGCTGTCTATGTTCCATTGGGGATAATTTCCTTCACTTCCTATCTCAGAAACACAACAGGAAACTAGAGGAAGTCTCTTTAAAGTAAAGGAAATGATCCCTTAGACAGATGTCACTGAAACAAGGGTATCCTTTGGAAGATTCCTCTCTATCCCTGTTCTGATGCTAACTCTGTCTTTTGGCATTTTTCCCGATTTCAGTGGCCACCAGTACAAATTGATAGAATAAATCTCCCTATTGGAGACACATGCATCAATAAAAAAACATGACAGGGGTTCTTCTAACCCAGGGGTGTCCAAACTGCCGCCCTCCAGCTGTGGTGGAACTACGAATTCCATGAGGCTTTGCAAGATTCTCACAGCCACAGGCATGACTCCCGGAGAGAGATGCTTCATGGGATTTGTAGTTTGACCACAGCTGGAGGGCCGGAGTTTGGACATCCCTGTTCTAACCCCTCACCACACTATGCAAATACCAAACATTGGCTTTAGATACACTTTAAGATGTATTGCTCTATGCATACAGCCATTGTTATATTCTGATTATAGAGGGACATAAAAGCAATAATACAGGTATGATCAAACATATTTGAAAGAAAAACACAAAAACACAGAGAGCGCCTCCATCGCGTAAAAACATTTTAATAAAATAATTTAAACAGATAAAAACATACTCACAAGGATTGAGTTTAAAAAGGCATGAAACGGTAAAAGCATGAAAGGCTTAGCCCACCGGCTACCCACCATCAGTGAGGAAGAGTAGCCGGTGGGCTAAGCCTTTCATGCTTTTACCGTTTCATGCCTTTTTAAACTCAATCCTTGTGAGTATGTTTTTATCTGTTTAAATTATTTTATTAAAATGTTTTTACGCGATGGAGGCGCTCTCTTGTTTTTGTGTTTTTCCAGAATTGAGGTTTCCCTAAAGCCTTTTTGAGAGCCTGTCTCATTCAAGGTGCATACTAAAGATCACTGCAGATTTTCTCCCTGTTTGGACGTAAGCCGCTGGCGCTTTGTTACATACTGTTTGCATATTTGAAAGAAGACCTTCCTGTGGTGGTTCCAAAATCCAATCAGTCTTCTCTTTTTCATCTAGAAACATTAGACAAAGAGGCTGGTTGGTTACACTTGGCAAACAACTGCATTTTTTCTGATAGGCTTGATTATGAAGTTTACAATCTAAGGATTATGTATGGTTTTAAAAAAAATCTAATTCTCTTATTTAAAGTGTTTGTAAATCATGTGGTGGGGTTGCATTCTATTTCCTACAATTATATCCAGCGGTGGAATAAAATATGGCAGATGGCAGTGGCTGTTCAGTGCCCCATAGTCCAAGGGGTCCCATGACGATGAAAAAAGTTCAGTACTTTGGTGCAGCAAGTCATTCTTAGATTTGAAATATTTATAATTTTTTTCATAGGGAGGTCAGCAAGGGCAGCATTTCTATTGCTCCCACTAAAGGATTACATTAAAATAACCAAACAATCATACACAACATGTTCCCTCTATCTGGAAGCATCCTTTTAACAATAATGTGACACCTTTGAACCTTTAGAGTATACCACTGCATTAGATCCAGTTTAAAATGTAATCGCTGTAGTCCAAATCTGCCAGGCAAGGTTCACAAATACATGTCAGAAGCAAAACTCAAATGTGTGTTTACACAGCAAGGCAATGCTAAACATGAACAATGAGACAGATTCTGAGACTGATATTACAGTTTGAGTCTGCTTCTGTAAAGTACAATAAAAACCAGGGGCAGAATAAAACCTGCCCCTGACCACTTCCTAAATGTGCATCCGGAGAAAAAAAAATCTGCCTCATACTGATGAAAATCTGTCTCAACTGCAGTGCTAATTCTGTCATAGACATTTGCAATCCTGTCTCAGTTAGCTGCCTATGGGAGAAGACTCGGGGGTCACACATAAATACAAAATGCAAAAAAAATACTGTTACATACACATTTACAAAATGAGAGGCAGCCTAACTGAAGTCTAGTTCTGTCACTAGTTAATTTGATACATGTTCCCCACTGACACCAATGGATGATTTATCAAACTGGTGGTAGTGATGGGCGGTGAATTAATTGAAATTAGCCCAAGGCCCAAGGTACAATGAATCCACCGCTGACTATGTAATCTCGGTTTCAGCAATATCAGTTTGGTTAGCTACAGTAGTATGTTGAAATGTATTCTTCCTACATCTATCCTTGCCCAGAAACATACCAACTCTGTAGAGTTGAAGTATAACTGTCAAAGCATTTTTACAAATAAAAAAGGTCATGGAATCATTAAAAACTCCCTCTGCAGTGGCCAAGTAAACTCGGTATACAAGAAACGGTCCATCTTGCATCCCAATCGTGATGATAACGCTCCACATCTCATTAGTGCAGCATGAAGTTATTCGGGGTCTCTTTTGATCAGTTGTTGACAATGACTCTTCTGTGAGGCTTGTTATCCGAAATGTTGGTGCTGACGTCTGAGTGAGCACTATTGCGAATTGCAGGATTGCCCAGGAAAAAAGGCACAAACCAACAACAGCTGCAGGCTTGTTAGTATTAATTTTTGTCTCTTTGATTAGTTGTAAAATATCCAATATATCTGCCCCCAACGCAAGGTAAGTCAAGAGAAGCTGACAGAGCTGCTCTCTGTTCATGTAACCTTTTGGCATCAACCAGCGTCCTATGACTAGGACCAAAATCAGTATTTCCTCCATGGCTTGAAGCTCATTTGAGTATTCTGTGTACACCTGAGAGAGAGTAGAAAGGTAGGCTTTACTTTGGGGAAAAATAAAACATATGTTTGTATATTTGTGACTAATACTGTACTTAGAAGATTTAAGTTTTTTGACTTTTCAGAACAAAGTGACAGGTGAATAAACTTTTTTACAGATAGCGATTAGACTTCCATACATTATTTTACCATCCAAAGTGTATCTAAAACACAAACTTTTTTTAAGTTACTTTTGCAAATAGGGAAGAGCAGAACCCCGTCAGGTTTATTTTTTTGGTGTCCATGTCTTCCTGCACTTCCTATCTTGCGACACAACCGGAAGTGAAAAGAGATCTGTCCATTGTCTCTTAAATAGTTGTCTCTAAGACAATTGTCCCCAGAACAAGTGTCCACATTGGAAGTTATCTCTTATTCCTGTTTCAGTGGCATTTCTTAATTTTAGATTTTCTCTCACACTCAGTCCGGAGACAATGGTGAGCAATAAAAACTTTTTCTCACTCTATCCAAAACAAAAAAGCTTTAGATACCCTTTAAAGTATATCCACAGCCAAACGTTTTTCTTTTAGTTTTGGATAGAGTGGGGAAACTTCTACTAGGTGCCACTGGAGAAGCAGCCAGCCGGGTCTGGGGTTCAGGTGAGTATATTAAATCCTAATGAAGCAGAACGCACATCAGTGAAATGTGTTGAGTGGATCTATGTGTGGGTACCTTAAAAGTTTGGTTCATGGTGCTAAGATATTTCTCCTGGTGACCATTGTCTAAGGTTTAGGAAATAGAAACATTTGCAGTTGTCACCAGATCATCCAATGGGGACACATATTCCAGTGACAGCTAGATAATAGGGGAGTCACCCTCATTTTGAAGAGATTTACTAGTTAGTTAGGTCTTCTAGACAGAAAGTGAACAGAAATCTCTTAATAACACAGATGACAAAAAAAACTGGCAGTGATTTTACCTATTCTATATTCATCTAAAACTAAAAATGTTTTGGATTTATATATACTTTAACCTTCTAAAATCCTTTCTTCTACAGAATTTGCATAGACATATATGAAACTACATCGAAACAATGACAATAAAATGCTGATGCTTTGACTAATCTACGTTGCAAGACCCATGAGTGCCTCTATATCTACTTTGGATGTGTATAGATATTTTTGTGGTTGAGCACCCGAGCATTTAGCTTACAAATAGAGTGCGGTGGCTACCTCTGGGATTGCTTGTATATGTGTATATGCTCAGAAGGCCCCACATTTACACTTTTATAGGTGTATCAGCATAGGCATGCACACAGAGTGTGCAGGGTGTGCCTGGGCACACCCTAATCACCCTGAGTGCATCACTGAAATCGTAACAGCGGGCAATGTGTTTTTAGACACTGAGCCGGTGGAGAGATCGCAAAGATACAGAGCGCAGCAGCACTTGCCACTTACATTCCTCACATAACAGCCGCAGTCCTCGGTGCATGGGAAACTGAAATGGAATGTGACTGCGGCTTCCTATTCAATCAGTAACATGACCACCTGCCAGGCTCCCTGCTTCATTACTGAACCCCTGCTGGGAGGGGTAAGGGACAGTTAAAGAGATGGGAATCTGGGATGCCTCAGGTCTGTGTATGTATGTAATATATCTACATATAGAGATATATATAGAGATATATATATATACATATATATATCTCTATATATATATCTATATATAGTGTGTGTTTGTTTGTACTTTTGTGTGCAAACCATAATAATCTTTCATACCCAAATGTTTTAACCCAAGCAGTTTCAGGAGCATAGACTGTAACACCCATGCACAACAGAGCTGTTATAAATCACTCATAGCCACTAATCAGGTTTTCCCTTTCATGTTTTAACTCAGCATAAAAAATGTTTCATTTGACTGGTTGATATACTGTAGGTCAGTTTTGTTTGCTATAAATGTTTCAAAATTCCAGATGATCCTGACCTAAATGCAATACATTCCTAATTTCCTGTAGTGAGCTGACAATGCTGCATCTGCTACAATAAAATCCCAGGCAATGTTATTTCCCTTCCTTAGTTCTTTAGTTCAGTAGAGGAAAACTAAGACAGGACTGGCAACACTACTTCAGACTTCAGCATAGCAGAGGCTGCGTTTTATACAGAAATGCTATTGTTATATAAAGTATTGCTGGGATGTGTAGTCCTCTATAGCCTGTGCCATTCTGTATTGCTGTAAATATTAGGGCTGCACCATATATTGGCCTCCAAAACGTATTGGCCGAAAATGGCACTTTTGGCATAATGCCGAAAGTGCCATTTTTCTGCTGATACAGCGGTGCATCCGTGCTTTCTTTTTTCCCCGCAGGACGCTGCTCCGTCTCCCAGCGGGGAGGAGAGAAAGTGACAGCCGGCCAAGCGCTGCGGAAGGAGAGCGCTGTGTTTGTGGGTTTTTTTGGGGGGGAGGGGGGCCCCCCCAAAAAAATCTTGCACCAGGGCCCTTTGTTCCTTAGCTCCGCCACTGACAGGGAGATAGGAGCTCTCTGAATTTCTGGAAGATCATCAGGTATTTTTCTGTACTTGCAGTGTTTTTAAAGAGACAAAACATAGTGAAATGTGCGTGAATTGCAGAGATACAAAAACATGCACTTTAACTAAACGATACGTACACTGTCCATACACTCATGATGTGTAACATTGCTTATTCCAATTCTGAATTGTAGAAGACCCAGTTCCATGATAAAAATTGGAGGAATAACAGAACACAGATATATAAACACCATGGGGGAAAACCTAGAATAGAACAGATGTAGATCACTACTGTAGTACAGTTTTAGACTTGCTTACAACCATGCGATGGTCCTTTTGAAACACAAGAGACCTTGCCATTAGGTGAAATATTATGTTTTTCTGCTTAAACAATCATGCATTTAGAGACATAATATATTAAATTGGCCAGTCCATCTAAAGATGATATTTTTGTCTCGTGGGTTGAGTGGCCTGCTGGCTTATTTTATCTACTGGGGTCTTCAGCAGGATACTGTTATAGTTCTTAGCTCTGTTCCCAACCACATATATGACTTAAAGTGACATTAAACCCTCACATTTTTTAACATAAACCAATACTGTAATGTGTGCCTTACTGTAATCCATGGTTGTTTCCCTTCTCTTTGCTGCTCTTCCTTTTAAATCCTCATGTCTTCTCATGCTTGGGGATAACCTCCCTTTTCAGCTCAGGGCCTCTTCCTGTAGTGCTGGCTCAGGTTTCAAGCCTATACAAGTCTATACACAGATACCGTGTATCCATTCCTGAGACAAGGCAGTCTACTGCAAAATAGAAGTTCTGCAGAGCATGAGAACAGATACAGATTTAAAAGGAAGAGCAGCAAAGAGAAGGGAAACAACCATGGATTACAGTAATGCACACATTACAGTATTGTTTTATGTTAAAAATCTGGGGGTTTAATGTCACTTTAAGGTTCTTCCTTGTAGTGTCTCCATGTACCTTGTTTTTATCCTTAACTGGTTTTCTACAGGCCTGGACAGTATCTCAGGTTCACAAATAGGGCCTCAGCTTCTGGACTGTCTCAGTGTTAAAATCTATTTTTAAAAGGGCATTTTCAAAAGCAAGTGTGCATGTTAAATGTCTTAAAAGAAATGTAATTTACCTATTTGTTAATGGTGAATGCAAACGAGATACTAGATTTCAGCTGCACCCTTCAAGAGAGTGCTAAAGGGGGGTGGTGCTGCTCCAAAAAGAGAATTGTGCTGTCAGTCTAAAGGTCTGTGGGAGGAGCTAGGCAGGGTTATTCACTGATAAGGCTTCCAACCTTGCCAACATGTAAACAGCCACAGCAGCAAGGAGGCACAATACTTTCGTTGATAGCGTCTTTAACCTCTCAAAGCAAGTGCCTATAGTTTCCATTGGTTCTACAGGATCAACAGGTATTTACAAAATGTTCCAGGTGGTACCTGAAAAAACAGAGAGGCCCCATCGTGCTCATATGGGCAGCCTACATCACATGTTTTTTATAATTTGATCATTGTTCTACTTTAACAGTGCTATTCACAAAAGGGTGAAGAGTTTGGAGAAGTGAACAATCTAGGACAACATAGCTGGACTGGAAAATGAGCTGAAGTGGAGAATTTTTCCAAATCAGCTATTCTGGCCTAGATTGTTCACTTCTCCTGCCTTCTCCAAACCCTTCACCCTTTTGTGATTAACCCTGTAAGTCTTTACTAGCCATAGAGGTTCTTATGTTGGACCACTAAATGGAAGAAGCAGGGCATGGTTCTAGAGCGGGTCTGGTATGTTTGTAAAATAAAAGATTTTATAGAAATACATTTAAAACATGGTAAAACAAAAGAAGTACAATAGATTTGAAACCATTAATGTATCTTAAATCTGTATAAGGAGGATCTCATTACTTACCTCTTTTTCTGAAAATGCTAGCTGCCTGGATGGATCGATTTGGTGGCTTCAGTTGTTTCTGAGACACTGAGCTTGAAGAATCATGCAGATCAGGAATCTAACTCTTCTCAGTCAGTAACTCAAAAAAAGTATTGAACCCCAAGACAGCCAGAGAGCTAGTATTTGAAGAAGGAAGTCAGCCATGACAGGTTCTCCAGCATTAATTAAAACAGCCATAACAGCCTAGAAATAGTTTAACATTTTTTTCACTTCATTTTGAATGGTTGGAACTTGAAGGATGTACTTTAGAGGCAATTTTAAAATTCATTAGAGGCCCTGTTCCCATGAGGAGTTTCCCTTCACTTTCTATCCTGTAGACAGAACAGGGAGTGAGAGAAAATCTTCCCAAAGCAGGTGCCCCCCTTTTTGTTTTGGTGACAACTCAGATTTTTGGATTTCCGCTCACTTGCCAATAATGAACAGGCCACACAGATCAATAGTCAACAGGGCAAACAGACAGAGTAAATCTCACCAGTGAGGACAAAGATAGCATTAAAACTTCTGCTGGTATGGTAGTTCTCATCTCTTCTATCTTCTAGAAAAAGTGCAGCTCCCGAACTATCTCTTTTTTGTAATTTGTCCCTAGTACTGTGCAACCACTTACACTTAACCAACCCCTTCCCTAAATCCTAATCCTGAACCTTAAAATAATGCATTAACTCTTAATAATTCTTCCTCTAACATATAACCCTTAACCTATACCTTAGTACTTAACCTGAGGATCAAGGAGGTTGAGGTGTTGGTAGAGCGCTGGTTTTGAAGGGTAATTTTCAGATTTGGAGTGAGGGCAGCTCTCTATAAGCTGGTGGGACCAGCCAATATCACAATAGTACTCATAATAAAACAGATCAAAAGAAGAATACACCACAGATGGTTACTAAGCACAGTAAGTATTTTTATGCCAAAGTAACAGGATTAGCCAACATGTTTCCTGGGCTCCTTGTTGCTTCTTCACCAGGATTTGTGGTGGTGGAAAAAAGGCAAATTTCTATACCTAATCAGGGTGAGTTGTTTAAAAGAATCTTTCAGCATGCATAGAAGGGCTCGCTTGGGTTGCCTGTCAAACAGCCTGTGGTGCTCTTATGTTTTTTCACTTTTATTAACCTGACCATAAATGTAACCCACATCTAAACTGTAAACCTTTACCCTAATGTGAGCTCCTATCAACTAACCCATTCCAATACCACCCTTCTGGATAGGAATGGAAGAAAAAACTTTCCAATGGGACATAGATGAAAATATATTTATACCATTCATTACTCTAAAATAAATAAATAAAAACAGAGCTTGGGCTTTAGGTATACTTTAACTCTAACACCTAAACGTAACCACCCTTAGCATGTAGGAAGTATATCACTAACATAACCTAGCCCCTAAATGAAGACCCCAAAATTATGTATTCTCACCCTATTCCATCACAGGAGCCTCTGTACTAAATCTTCAGATATGAAGTGACCACTGTGCCAGGCTGACAGTAACAAATACTCACGATTCACTGTGCTGCTGCTCTTTTAGGTTGGGACTGTGTTCTTAACAAGCTATGCTTCTGCAGTGGAGGCCAAGAGTTGTGCTGTACTGTGTGGCAGAAGTGCCTTGATAAAAACTTCACTGCACATAACTGACAACCCTTTGGCAGGTAAAACAGCTCCCATACACATATTTTATCTGTGCGTATATCTGCTTGCTTGGAGTTCAGATTTCAGCTTTAAAGTGAACCTGTTGCTTTGCCCAGCATGGGCAATGTGCTGTTTTTAAAAAACAAAACAGAGAAGAGCGTAACAACCTTCTGCGTTATCTAAATGACACCAGAGGACAGAAAAGAGAGGTAATGTATGCACTCACAAAAAATCGGTAAATGCCAGCATATACACTGAGTGGCCAGATTATTATGACCACCTGATGTTTGTAGGCAAATTAGCTATAATTAGCTATAATTTTGCGCTGAAGTTGCTAGAGGGCCAGGCCATTATAAATAGGGAAGCAGGTTGTTTACCACGACAGTAGAAGTGATTTTTTTCTGAAGATACGGGTAAACAACGCGATGTAACAGCCTTTGAACGTGGGATGATTGTTGGCGCTCGGACCTATGGAGCGAGTATCAGCAAAACAGCAGAATTTGTTAAATGTTCAAGAGCAGCTGTTGTTAAAGTGTTTAAAGACTGGACTGTCAGCCGAAAATCTGGGTCTGAACGTGCGAATTGTGGCCATCAGCGACTAGTCAATGTTAGGGCAGAAGGGAGAGTGGCAAGACTGGTACAAGACAACAGAAGGGCAACAGTGCCGTGTCAGATTCCTCGCATCACCTTTCAACATCTCGTGGAGTCACGAGGCGGCCCAACAAAGGCATCTCGTGGAGTCATCTCGTGGCCCAATGAAGTACTGATGGGGTGGTCATAATAATCTGGCTACTCAGTGTATATTATCTGCGGGGGTCTGACACAGAACATTACTTGTGAAGTGGAAAATCTTTGATTACACTGGGATGGTCATCAGCACAGGAGGTAGGTGGAAATGTCACTAGCAGTGGTGAGTATAGATGGTCTTGAATCGTAGAAGGTAAACTGGTTGTCCTTAAGCCAGTGCTGATGAACAGGTGGAAGGAGAACAGTAAACCCAGTGCTTCTCCTCAGTCATCCTCGGTGGAGCAGGCAGTACTGTATATCAGCAGTGTTGGTGAAGTGTGCTGGCGGAGCAGCACTACTGATGTGCTGAGTGGACTTCCTCAATCAATGTACAGCAAAGTGGAATCAGTCAACAGAGTAGAGTAAGTCAGCATTCTGCAGAGTTCCCCGCGACTGAAGAATTGTTTGTTTCCATGTTTCATTCTGTTATGTTCAATAAATGCTCTGGAATAAGTTCTTCTTTCACAAATTCAAAATGTGCCAGTGCAGCAGTAGCAAACAGTTTATTCCTGCGGAATCAAGCTGTGAATACATATACACTCCAAAGGAAGTTAATTTCTTCTGTGCTTCACTTGTTAACCCAGCTCTTTTCTGTTTAATCATTTGGTGATCTTTGCCTTACAAGTAGTAATGCAGGAGAGATGTTCGCAAAAACACCCACTGTATGCGCCTTGAGGTCACTTATGTACAGAAAGCCTAAACTATCAAAGTGTTTTCTGTTGCCACCAGTTGGTTAGTAACGTGGCCGGAAGTTTGAATCTAACTGGTGACACATCAATGAGAGAGATACACGAGACAGGCTTTTGGAAACAGACCCTCCATAAGCAGGCTTTGTATGAGATTTGGTGGCAGTGGAATATAGGAAACTCAGATTATGGTTAATTGGGTGGAGTTTCGATACCTTCATATCTGCAGTCTCCTAATAACAACTGTACTTTACTGACTGGTTTCACACATTGGCTGGAATTGCTATTTAAAGCCCATTTCCGGAAAAAAAAATGTCCCGCCTCTTCTCCGAGCATTCATTACTTTCCACCTTCCCCACCACCTATTTACCTAAGTCTGCTGTAACGTGATGACCCACAGCACCTCTTCTATTGATTGGGAATGGTTATTGGAAGATACACTACAGTTGCCACACCTTGCATCATGACATTGTAGCTAGAAGACTGGCGGACCCTGTGAGAAAACCCTGTGGACACTTTGATGGACACTTCTGGCAGCCAATGGGCAGTGGCCACATCAGCTGGAAGCAATGTGAGCACTACAAGAAGAACCCCCCACAATACAGACCATAAAAACAGGGAATACTTTCCTGTCACATGACCATAGTCAGGCCCGGCGCTACCGCAAGGCAAGTCAGGCGGCCGACTTACGGCGCTGCAGGGTGAGGGCGGAAAAACAGGGCATTTTGCCAAGTAATGTACTTGTCAAAATGCCCCGATGTTTGCGCTATGCTTTTTTTCACTTACCTCTGGTGCGGGAGACCAGCGGCGAGCGGCGTGGGAGAGCAGCGGCGAGTCAGCGCTGGTCCAGTGGGAGGAGCTCCAGGTGGGGTCCTAATTTAGCTGGCCGGCGACTGCCAGAGGATTACGACACGCGTGGCACCTCAGGCAGTCACCGGCCAGCTGAATTAGGACCCCACCTGGAGCTCCTCCCACGGGACCAGCGCTGACTCGCCGCTGCTCTCCCGCGCCACTCGCCGCTGCTCTCCCCCGCCGAAGGTAAGTGAAAAAGAAAAAAAAACATAGAGCAAACATCATTGCATTTTGACAAGTACTAGTACTTGTCAAAATGCCCTGTTTTTATAGGACATCAGGGTCGGTATTGGGGCAGGAGATGGGGCGCAAAAATGCACCTTGCCCACCTTGCCTAGAATCCTAGCACCGGCCCTGACCATAGTTTTAGGTTCGAAATTGGTAAACTAAGCTTGAGATTGTAGTCCACCACGTGAGTGAGCATGGAGCAGTGGCTATTTTACAACACACACAGGGACCATGGAGAACAAAAGTAGTCACCTTCCAGAAGGAAGGACAGTGTCAGCACCAATTCAGAGATGATTTGAGTATCTACAGCCAAGTAATACACAAATTAGATACATTTTTGTTACATTTTCAAGACTCCTGAATTTAGTGTCACTTTAAGAGGGTGGTAGGATGTGGCATGATCATACTGCCTAAAGATAATATGCCCATATTGACTTATAGCACACAGGTTCTGATCACCCATAGGTTAATATGCATCCATATCCATGTAATGGGGGAGTTTAACTAGCTATCTCCTTGTACCAGCTTGTCAGGGAAAATGTTGGTAGGTGAAATTGCTAAAAAAAAAGCCAATTGCTAATTCAAGCTAGATCTAGAACGTTTTCAACCCTAAGCTATCAAATCTGGTCAACTAGCTAGATTTACTAATGAGAATTTATTTTACATGTTTGATTGCCATCAGAATTTTGTTTAACAGTCTTATTAATACATTACTTATATTAGTACCATTTCCATTCTCCTTTCTTAGTTTCCCGTAGCGTGATGATCATCTCAAAGAACAACAGAAAAATGATACTTAGCAGTACAAGGTAACTAAAATTATTTTCCATCGCTGATAGTAAAAGTATCATAAGGAATCCATGAAGGCTGAAAAACAAGCGACTGACAATGGCTGATAGTATCTTCCAGCATTTACTCTTCATTGTAGCAGCTTCGTATGATCTGTGAAAACACAAAAGTAGAGATTATATGTATAACATCTGAATAGTGTGAATATTTGTGAAGATAATTTGTTGGAAAAAAAACGAGCGGCTCAGCCGAGCCGAACTCATATGCATCAGCTCGGCTGAGCCGTGCTGAAAGCCGAAGCTGGCCGAGGGGCCGGCCATTGGCCGGCCGACAGCCTGCTTCTGACAGCTGGGCAGAGCCAGCCGTGATCTTACGGCTGGCTCCAGCCACTTACAGAGAGATCAGCGTCCCTGGTTACCTGCTGTATGTTCGGCTCAGCCAATCCAGAAGTTGGATCGGCTGAGTCGAACTCCTTCTGCACTTCGGGTCGGCCGAACATGCTGAGCATGTTCGGCCGACCCGAAGCCATGTGAAGCAAGCCGATGTACGGCTGATTTCAGCCGATGTACGGCTGAACTCAGCAGTACCAGCCTGAAGTAATTAGCCGAACAGTGTTCGGCTCACTTCACTTCAGGTTGGTCATTCACTCGGCTGCCTATGGCAGCTTAGTGAATAGACCCCATAGTGTTTTCATTATATGTCTCCCACTTGAGTGCTTCATAAATCAGTACCTTGTAAATGAAAAGGAATGTATACTGGTCTGTTACTGAGTATAGAAAAGCATACACGTTTCACTGATGTCATTTGTCTAGCACATAGAGATACATCCTATGTGTTAGATTGCCCAAAAAATAGCTCAAATAATGTAAGCTATAGATCAGATTTTAAGATTGCTCATGATTACCTGGCCCTTCGTGATATGCTGGAAGGCCATGATAGATACCTCAGGTATCTCATTGAGCAGGATACTATCGTTCACCTGACTTTGGAGACGAGTGAAGGATTACAAATACCTTGTATGCACCACTGTAAGCATTTGGTGAGGACCTTGGTGAGTCACAGCATTCAGCACATTTCCACAAGGATGACCATATATTACCTTATTCATTTTTCAGGTTGATATTTGTCCATCTGTGTCCACCTTTCATGAAGCTGATCATGATCATTGAGTTGATCACTGATATTAGTCGGTGATTAGACATTCATTTTTGCAAAGATTGTGATGTAAACATGCAACCTACCTGATTGTGTCTGTTTTTGTCAGTGGATGAGAGAGCTCAAGCATGAACAAATACCTCTAAAGATGCCCTATATTTAAGGAAAACAATAGCAATGGTCCAAAAAAAAAAAATCAACCACCACAACCAGTTACTTCATCCTGCAAGATCAGATGTCCAGCGATATTTTAAATAGTATGTCAGTAACCAAAGGCCAGAGGGTCTTTGCATGATTTTAACATGATCCCCCCAAAGCTGGTCATATGGTTGAAAATGGAGAGCTTTTATGATAGCAATACAAACTTTTGTAAATGTTGTAAGGACTGACGTGGTACATTCCTCACCTTATAATGGCAGCTGGATTTATTCTTATCTCAGTGGATATTTAAAGAGTTTTGTGGCTCCATCAAGCCAAAAAATATACATATGTTCTATATTTTAATAATTTATTGGGTAACGATGTCGTAGTGCTTGACAGTGGGGTGGAGAATCTTACCCCAATAACCCTGAAAGTCATTGGTTTACATTCACCTGTAAAGGATAAGAAGGTAGAGGGTCTGTATTTCCAGAAGTGATCTGCTAAATACATTTTTACTAGGCCAGGTCCTCGGAAGCAGGAGGAAACTAATGGGTTCATCTGTTAAATTGGGTAAGGTTTATAAATGGGTAGGTACATGTAAATCTGATAGATCCTGGTCTCCAATGGGAACTAAATAGAGTATGCATGTATGTAAGCATACAAAAGATTTGCAGAGTACAATATTTTCATTTTACATGTTTAACACTATAAAAAAAAAACAAACATATAATTTCAATTTCTGAACAATACAGAATCCGCCTGCCAAACCCCAACATGGAATTTAGTTTTTAGTAATGGGCTTTCATTAATATTCTTGCCAAACATGTCTGTTTTTGTTGGCTTAGCATTGTGAAAGTATTATATTAGTATTCACACGGGAAATAGCAGCTGAATATAACAATAATATACTGTAAATGGCTATTCGGTACTGAGAAGATATAAATTGTGGGTTTTGCAATATTCAGACTATTAAAAAGATGAATATTTATCTTTGCATTTATTTGTGTATTTATGTATACACCGTGCTATAAGTGTGCTTTCAATAAATTCAATACAGGCAAGCTTAAAGTGACACTAAACTCAGGAGTTACATTTTATAAATGCATTCAAGTACCTTTTACTATTAACATAAATGTATCTTCAAAAAAACCAAAAAGTGTATCACTTCGGCTGTAGATCCTCAAATCCTCTCTGAATTGGTGCTGACACTGTCCTTCCTTCTGGAGGGTGGCTACGTTTGTCCTCCATGGTCCCTGTGTGTGTTTTAAAGTAGTCACCGCTCCAAGCTCACTTCTGTGATGGACTACAATCTCAATACAAATCAGTTAATTAAATGTGAGATTGTAGCCCATCATGGAACTTTTAAATCCATTCAAGTGCCCTAAATATTAACAAAAATGTATCTTATTTGTGTATCACTCTGACACTGTTACATGCTCAGCCCCGTGATTGACTATAACTTCAACACAAATAAGCTAACTAAACATGAGATTGTTTAGTCAGCTTATTTTTTCTGGTCATCCGTGTCACTAGTTCTGGTGACCCTGCTGACCACTAGGGATTTCCCTCACTTTGAAGGGATTTCCTCTTACTTTCTGTTGTGGCTATCAGAAAGTGACACAGATGGCCAAAAAAAGCTGGTATAACCCTCCCTTACTCTATCAAAACTAAAAAACAGTTTTGGCTTCAGTTCTACTTTAAGCACATAATAACATAACTTTTCCAGTATTTGTGGTTTGTAAGGCAGGGAGGTAAATAATAAATTGTCCAGATAGTATTTATTACCGGTTTCACTGTGATAGGCAAACTTTTGTACCTTTGGAAATATTCCAGTGTTGCTCATTGCCAAGAGGCCTGTCCACACTCATCCACCCTTAACATCACGCAAGATTAACATGCCACATTCCTTTCCTTTGCCATTTAGCGAAAAACAAAAATGTTATTATTTCCACTTGATTAAAGTGTATGTATAGCTGTTTTTTCTCAGTTTTGGAGTGTGGAAAATTAGATTATCTTGTTTCAGGTTTTCATTGCCATTTATGTCCCTGCTTGAAAGATTCACCCTCTCATGTTTGTCCTGGTAACCATTTTCATTGAGACAAAAAGTGATGGGAAATCCCAAGTTTTACCATTGTCACCAGAACAGGAAGTTAGGGGAAATCTTCCAATAGGACGCTTGTTCCTGTGACAAATGTATAAAAGGGTAAGTCCCATAATTTTCAAGAGAATTCCTCTTGCATCCTGTTGCTTTTACAGGACAGGAATTGATGGGAAATCTCCCTAATGGGACTTAAGAAGAAAAACTTTCCAGGTTCCAAGATTTTGACCCTGCACTACTCTATCCAAAACTTTTAAAAAGGTATTGGCTATACGTACAATTGAAATATTACTTTTAGAGGCTGTTTAGAGAATGCATTAACTTTAGTTACAGTATTTTATCACATCTGCCAGCAAGGTGTGAATAGGTGGCGATATGCGTTACAGAGATTATCACTGTAGGGCAAAGTCAGTCAAAAGCCCCCTTCCCCCGCAACTGATATTCATCTCTCCAGCAGACACCCACCCCAAAAATACTCAATGTCAGCTGGTGCTAAAACTTAGAGGGCGCAGCAACATCATCCCCTCCACCATGTGATGGTGCTTGGGCCTAGCAATTGGACCTGAGTACTCCATCATGGGAGAAGGACACATGTTCCCTCATACTCAGAAGCGCCAGTATTTTGAACTGACTGCGACAAAGAAAGGAGCTGCAGGAGATCGCTGGAGACCTATCAGTGGGTCAGGGGGTTAGGGGACTTTACACAGACACTGTCACTTTGCTCCAAGTGACAATGTCCTTTAAAGTACAGCAAAGTGTTTACATTTTCTCCCACACACTTACAGTCATCATGCTTCCAAACAGCTGGCTCCAACTTTTTCAGCTCTGCTTCCCTGAACTTCCTGTCCAGTACAAGATCACAATGGACAAAGCAGTACATCTACTAAGAAGGGAAGAAGAAGGAGAGAGAAGGGAGCAGAGGAGTGCTTGCCTTACTGTGCCTGTGTGCTTGTGGAGACACAACCACAGCTTACTAGCACACAAGAGGGTGTCCCCATAGGACCCTGCAAGGTAAATGAGCCACCCTAAAACAGGAAATCGGGGCCAGTGCTCAGGGGACCAGCTGATTCTGCAGGAAGCTAACATTTTCAAACATCAAAGAGCAGCATCCATTGTAAGTGATTTAATCAGCATTTTAAAATAGATTTAAAAAACCCTTTACGTATACTCCATGATGATAGATGCAGTCATATACAGTATGGATCAAGTTAGAACAACACATAGGAAATCAATAATGAACAGTGTATAGCTGGGGATTGTTGATAAACAGCCACGCTTAGTACAATGATGATGTGAATAGTGAAATAATCCAGAGCAACCAATTAGATTTCACCTTCTATCATTTTAGAATAGCTTAAACAATGCAAAATGTTCTCTTATCAGTTGCTATAAAGCAGCTTGTGTTTGGTTTAACAAAATAAACTTTACAAAACTGCCTAATCGTATCCAATATTAATAACATTTGTGATGGCCAACAGGAAAAGGTAACAATATTACTTACTTAATGAAAGCCTCGCCTTGGTATATAGTAGTGTGAAGATTATCGCATTCAGCAGGATCCAGGTTCGGAAAAAAACATAGAAGCACTTGTGCTAAGCTCTACCAGCCCAGAGCCTCCAGAGATGAACACTCCCCTCACACTTGAAAAAAAAAACGAACATGACTCGTCTGCTTTTATTCAAAACCGCACTCTCTGCTTTAGTAAAATTTCCTGGACTGGGTGGACCTTGTAAATCTGCTTTGTACAGTTACAGTTACACAGTTCATGGTATACATACATAGTTACATAGTTACATAGTTATACCCCTTAGGTATTCCCAGATGTTTCCACTGCTGGCTTTTATCGGGTTAAGATTTTTGTGTGCTCTTTCATGTAAAAGAAATACAAAACCCTCTCTATTCTGAACTCATTTCCTACATTCTTTTAAAGCAGGATCTAAATGGAAAAAAACTGTAGAGGAAAAGTGTTTTGGCAAAGGGATTGCTGAAATATTGTTGGAATGTTGTACAGGAGACATTAAAGGTAGCAATTTGGCAGAGAGAAAACTCCAAAAAACAGGAAAAATTTGGACAAAAGTCCCAGGAGAGATCCAACTAAATGTAAACGTTTTGCAGAGCAGAGCTATAACGATAATTTGAAATTGAATATTTTTTTAAATTATAGTGAATATATCAAAAGTTATAAAAAAAACTCCCCCTTTTTTTTTTGCAATTTTTATGTCTCTAAAAAGCATAGAACAAATAAAAAAATTGTCGATAACAATTAAATCATGGTTTTCATGATTTGCTTAACAATTGTTTTGCTTAACAAAAGTTGCAGTGCACAGTCATGGCATTCTGAAATGGAAATCAAATTTTGTTCAGAAAGTTCTTCCCAACACTGTTGCAGACGTTCCCACAGATGTGTTGGACTTGCAGGTTGCTTTGCATTCATCCTTCTGCGCAGTTCATCCCAAACTAGCTTAAATGTCTGGAGACCCTGCTGGGTGCTCCCTGATTTGAACCATATCATTTTTGTCTTTTCTGAGATAGTTCTGACATAGCCTAGAGATAAGTTTTGGGTCATTATTTTGCTTTAGGATGAACTCCTGACACATTAGCAATTAGGTGTAGATCAGAGTTTATTGCATGGAACTTAAAAATGCTGTGGCAGGCATTTCGGTTCAGATTACCAGTCACCCTAGGAAAGTTGCAGACTCTGGATCCAGCAAAAGAGACGCAGACCATTATGTTTCCTCCTCTATGTTTGGCAATTGGTGTCTCACCATTCTTTTGCTCACTCAATAGCATATAAAAAACCCTGCAGGATGAACCAAGACTTCAAATTTTGAATCATCAGTCCATAAGACCTTCTTACAGTCTTCAGTAGTCCACTGGTGGTGGTTCCTTGCCCGGGCAAGTCTCTTTTTCTTATTCAGCCACTTTAGTGATGGCTTTTTACTGCCACTCAACATGTGAAACCTGCAACCCAAAGGGTAAATAGGCTGTTCACTTTGCATGTGAATTTTCACTTTGTAAGGAAAATTTCCCCTTACCTAAATTAATGAGGTGAAACTCTACAGACTTCCATCATCCAATCTTGTGCAACATGATTATGTATTTTTTACACAGTTATTTTTCACCACATTCACTGAGCTGTGGGAACATTGCTTTGCAAAGTGCAAATTCCCTTGCAAAGTGAACAGCCTGTATGAATGTAGTAAATCAACCCCAAAGGCTTTCCTTCACAGTTGAACGTGAGACTTCGTCCACTGTTAGGGTGCCCACACACCTTACGATAATCGTACGATAATCGTACGATAATCACGGGAAATCCCGCGATCGTACGATTATCGTAAGGTGTGTGGAAGCCGTGCGACCTCTACTACTGTAAGGTCGCACGACTTTTAACTTACGAACATGTTTGAAAACCCGCCCAGCATTGTACGATGTTCGGCGGGTGTGTAGCTTGTTCGTAAGATAAAAGTCTTGCGATGGTTGTAAGGTGTGTGCCCAGCATTAGGCTGTGTTGAAGTTGTTGTCCTGTGAAGAACCTTTAACACAAATTATCAACTCTCAGAAACTATGATCTAGCTGCCGGGTTTGTGTTTACAAGCAGTGATCTTTTACAAATGAACAATCAGCACTGTCTGTAATAGAGCTGCTGCTACTCTGTATGCTTCCTTGCAGCTGGCAGCTCTATCACACAGCCCTGTAGTGCTGATTGTTCATTGATCATAGTAAACAGTCAGCAAAGAGAGGTGGCAGCGCTTTAGGGCTGGCTATACCTCCTTCCACGGGAAAGCTCATATTTTAGTCTTCAGACTGGGGTGGAGCTACAGCCAGCATTGGCATAAATAAAGAGGCTTTTTTCCCGCAATGGGGCCACCAATCTGAATGGGACCAAGTGCTATATGCATTTGGTCCCCTGGCGGATAAATACAAATAGTTTTTTTGTTTTTTTAGACCTTTTCTTGACTGAATCTTTCTAGTACAGTGAAAGATCATTTTTTCAATATATTGCACAGAATGCAATGAGCCTGTATTATCACATGTATAAACAACTGTTATTTATAGCAGTTGAAAGATACACAGAAGCAAGGAACGGCATAGGTCATGTGTCCCAAAAAAATGAACATGACTCTAAATAAAAATGCTATGTACCACTAATGATTTTTTAATATCTTGATATTATTTAACACCATGTAAGATCTATACCAGAGAAAGAAGAGAGGAAAGGAGATCTATTTCTTGGTAAGTGATACAAGTTAATCATGAGTATAAACTGTAGAAAAATGAATTAGCATCTGTAATTTGTTCTAGTTCATCCCTTCTCCACAATCCAGTGTATTTCTGCTTTCTAAGGTTTTTCTGTCCTCTGAGCTATAGAATATCTGTATTGTCTTCCTACGCAAGTAAAGACAAGGCTGAATTTTACAGTGCTTCCCAACCAGTAGCTCAGCAACCAAACTTGGGTCATGGGTAGCGTTCATGAGACATACTCTTAGGAGATACCGTGTACCTGCTTGAAACCTTCTGCATTGCACACCTACTATAGTAAATAAAAGTATGTCTTATCTATTTAAATGGAAGCTGTGCTTAAAGAAATATGCAGCCAGCCACTGATACCTCTGTTTGCGTGAGTACTTGTTCCCTGGCTGTCATGGTGATACAGTGACTTCAGTTTTTTTTGAGTTCATAGACAAAAATACGTTCTTATTTCCCTTAGACTTCACTTACTGTAAACCTGATGTTGTGTGTTAGTAGCTTAGAAAACATGGAAGTCAGGGGGATCAACATGACTGGTGTATCTAGTATCTAGGGAGAGGTTGGCATAACATACAGGAAGAAAATGTAAGAAATTATGTTTCTACCTCTAGACCCCTATTACCCAACCTGCAGCGGCCACATGAGGTCCTTTGGCACTTATTGTGTGACCCTGGGGACCACTGCAGACAGTAGTTTGTGTTTTTCTTACGTAGGTGCTTACTATGCCAGTGATGGAAAATTATCTTTAGACTGGGCTCTAGTAGTTACATGGTTTGGTTAATTTCTTTTTTACACTATCTTACTTTTTCTGCGCTTTCCATGCATTTTCTCTTTTTTAATGTTTTTTTCCCCTCTGATCTTTTATTGTGATCTTCCTGGGAGAAACCTCAAATCTGGCACAAGTTATTTGTAAAAGGGCTGCAGGGAGCAAAAATATGGAAGCATTGATCAGTAAAGGAGCTTTAATAGCAGTTCTCTCTAGTAGTCCCATGTAATGTGTCTCCAGTCTATAAATATAATCTAAAGCATTCACTGAATATTATGTGTGATCCCACTATATAAAAAATAAATGGATTACCATTGTGCTAGGCACTGATAGGGCACTATGATATTAGCACTGCAGGTCTAATAGCACATGCTGAAAACTGGAAGGTCTTAGCATGTACTCTTGGAAGACAGTAGTAGCTGACAGCTTTCTGGCCTACACAAACATGTGGTGCCATCACTGTGACCTTATAGTTGTTACACAACTTCAGAAGTCTTTAGATGGAAACATAACAAAATACCAAAAATCCCAGGACATAGCAGCCTAGGAGACAACACAAGTCTGAATCTTTCATATACAAAACCAAATTTCTAAAGACTTAAATCTGTAGACAACACTGTATTTAACTTTACAATAGTGTGGGGAATCTTTAAATGGTTCTATCAGGTTTTGAGTCTGTCTGTGCCACCGCTGGGGTTATTCACTCCTTTGTTTGTCCTAGCGACCATTGTCATTGTAATTAAAAGTGATGGGAAATCCAAACATTTTGGTTGTTATCATACCAGAAGGTGAGCGGAAATCTCTCAGTAGGGACTCACTCTTCTAGTGATAATGGAGTCTCCAGCCAAAAATAACAAGATCAAAATAAGTAGCCCATTAAAAGACAAAATAATAAAACAGCTTTTGTGGCAATATTCACCTTCAATCTGGAGCTGCCCCCTTTATTGATGATGTATTATGTACTAATGAACACAGCACTGCATTAACTGGTGTATTTTATATCTGCCTAGAGTTCAACTGTAAGTAAGTAATGTAATGACAATTGAGGAGAAGGTATATTGCAGCTATCATTGGAATGCACTGCGGCTAGAAACAGTGATGGACAAAAGTTGAAGCAAACACATGCCTTCTTCTGGGCTGAAGTCTGAAGAATTTATTTGCTCAAATACAAGCTAAGCAAGCTAATTTTTCACCTTGGTTTGACTTCAAGAAATGTTTGAAATATATAAGCAATCATTTTCCCTTTCTGCTTTTACTATCTGCATATTGAATCACAGCAATCCGGTATATTTCCAGGAAGACTGTCAATATATTTTTGCAGATGAAGAAAATCATCATCTCATTGAGCACACCCTCTTTGATGGTCAGGTAAAGACGAAAGATGAGAAAGGGTCCATCTTGCATCAACACCGCAATAAGTAGACTCCATACTTCACTGGTACAGCAGGAGGAAGCACAGCTCTCACTTCTGTTAGGTGACTGTGGATTACAATCATTCTCTGTCTCCTCTGGTGTTGCAGCAGGTCCGGCTGTGAGAACCAGCGTAAAATGCAAAACTGCCCAGCTGAAAAGGCTGAGTCCCACGATGGTCACAAACTGGTTGGTCGCAACAGATGGTTCTTTGATCAATAAAAGAATATCCAGGAGATCTGCACCTAATCCGATATAGATTAGTAGTAGTTGAGAGAGTTGGTCTCTGCTCATCTCCCCTTTTGGCATCAGCCAGCGTGTTATAACCAGGACCAAAACCATGACCTGCTCAAGGGCTTCTAGCCATTGAAACGATGGTTTAAAATTTGATACCTGCAGAAAAAGGATAATAGTAAATAGTAGAAATACACTTAAATCGAAGACAATGTTTTACACTCCATTTAAAATGGTGCATCTAAATGTAATCATGTGATTCATCATATGTGTTGAACGGTCCTAAATTTCAGCTTGGTATTTATCTTGATAATTTGGCTGCTGTATTCACCAAATCAATGTTGTTACATAGCTACATAGTATTTGAGGTTGAATAAAGACACAGGTCCATCAAGTTCAACCTATGTGAGCGTATGTGTAATTACTGATATCTTTGTCTTCTCATTGCCATTGAATTTGCAAAATTGCAAGGTAATGTGTTCACTGGTTCTTGCACTGCCCTGCCTCTGAGCCCATTACAATTTTACTATCCATAAAGTAGCATAATAGGAAAGTTGTACTGACTGTATGTTACAAAAGGTTGCACTCCTACACATCAGTACCATTTCATTTGGCTCCATTGGATTTAAGTAGCTTTTCTAATGTTCTCTTTTCAGATTTACATTAGTGGCTCTTAATAACCTACTTTATCTGCTTGGGGTACCCAGGGGAATGGGAGAGAAGCACACAGGAAATATGTGCTGTATTTTGGCTTTATTCATTTTAATTGTATACATTATGATAATCAATTTAAAACTAAAGTACTGTATATTTCAAACCCAATTTTTTGGGATAGTTTTGGATAGAATGTTAAGTTATATATATTGCTGTCTATGTCCCTACAGTGGAGATTCACACTCTTTGTTTACCCAGATAATCAGGACTGAAAGTGATACTTGTTCTGGTGACAACTGTCTAAGAGGGGATTTACTTCACTTTGGAGACATTTCCTCTCACTTCTGTTGTATCTGCAGGACAGAAACTAAAGGGGAGTCTACTAAATGGGACACAGATGCCAAAAAAACTGACAAGGGTTTTAACCTTTTCATATTCCATCCAAAGTGGAAAAAAGTTTTGGCTTCAGATATACTATTGCTGTTGCTGTGTCACATAATACATTGGGGTATTGTTTTTCTAGGTATACCAGTACTTTCAATCAAATTTGGTTACATAGTCCAACAAGGTTACAGTCTATCAGGAAAGCATCAGAAGGCAACATGCATGTGTGCCAATGCACAAGACAAGGGTCATGTCTAGCCGGTAGCGGGTGCACACGCATTTGCACAAGCACACTAATTTATGTGTGCATGCACATTCACACAAGAACGCTAATTCTTGTGGGCATGCTAATCCATGAGGGAACGTTGCACAGATACATGGGCCTAACTCAAGGCTTGGAGCCAGACGGCTTATGTTAGGAACAGAGTTGCTGGTGTGTCGTCAGCTAATTCCTGACCTTGGCTTGACTCTGCTAATTGTTGGTGTGAGCTCGACTTGTTCCTGACTACTGCTCATCTCTGCTGACCTTCTTATGTGACCTCAGCCTACCTACTGATGATGTATTTGCCTGCTATCCTGTCTGCTGTCTGCCTCCTTGGCTAGCGACCGACCACCTGTTCAGACCACGCATCCAACCTGCTGCACATTCCACTGTCCTGGCATATAGTTACAAACTCCTGACCTTAACCTGATGATATCTCAGTGTGACTGATAATTCTTCACTCACATTCATGAAAACATTCATTTCTGAGGTCATTTAAGGACAGGTTGGAAATTCAGTGGCTTAGAACAAGCAGACACACTAAATGCAAAATGCTTGCTTCTACAATGAATTTTATATATGCAAGAATATATTGATTTTCTTTTTAAAAAATTTAATTTGATTTCCAATAAACACTTCAGGCAACCCTGAACAACAACAACAAAAAAACCCCAACATAAATAATTTAATAGAGAAGAGGAGGAAAAGGCAGGGACATAAAATGTGGGAGATTTTTATATATCTTCAGACAGGGATATAGGAGAGGAACAGCTACATAAGCCTAATAAAACATTTTTTAGAAAGTCAATATAAAGCACAATATGATGTTAGAAAGTGAAAAGTCTGTAGACTGTGGGGATAGTTAGAAAATAAATTGTACTTTATTATTAAAAAAAAAAAACCTGTGCTTTTTAACTATATACTAGGTGAAGCTTAATGAATTTTATTTATGCCCTGGTGAAAATCTGTAGTGTTATCCCACGCAGACACCCACAGACATTTGCTCACTGTGCTTTACAAAGCAGCTGAGGCTGATATATATTTCAGAGCTAAATCTAATGTTTACAGTGTTTTTCAGAGCACCGTACCTGCAGGCACTGTGGATCAATTCATCCTCAAGGTTCCCAGCAAAAGCACTGGAATTGTTCCAGTCCTCAGAAAAGTTCTGCTTCCTCTCCTTCCACTACCAGAGCTATATTTGTGTTTACATTAGAGATTAGCATAGGTCCCAACTGCACATGATGTGGAGGGTCTGTCTCTCTTTTGGAACACAGTTTGCCTGTCCCTCTTCATGACTCAGATATCCTTCTTTTTGATTTGCTGTTTAGGCCAGCATTTGTGAACCAGGGTGCTATGGCACCCTGGGGTGCCTTTGACTTCCTCAGGGGTGCCTCAAAATTTTTGCACATTGTCATGCTTGTCTATGGTGCAGGCGGGTCGGCTTCCTGCACCATGGAAACGAATAACGTTAATCCAGGGAGAGTGGGATCCATTTATAAAAGACAGGAAGTGCACTTACATCCAGGCTTCTCTGCCTTCCACCCTCTACCATACTACTGCAGCTGCTGCTCTTGATGTAAAGGTAGGACTCTCATGTGAAGGGACTCCTTATGTGAAGGGGGAACTCTGAAATAACAAAAGGCGGCTATTATGTGAAAAGTGAGGCTCTGATGTGAGAGAGGAGCTCCTGACATAAAGGGCAGCTTCTGATGTGAATAGGGCTTTTGTTGTGGTGGGGGTGCTTGTGATAAGAAGAGGGGGCTCCTAATATATGTGGCTGCATTGCGGTCGTGTGGACACCGACGGCCCCCGGAGTGACTTCAGGCTACTACCAACCCTGGGGATACCTCCGTTATTGGAGTCATGAGTAGGACCTAACAGGCATTTTCCTTTCTGTGGCATAAGGATCTATACCCTGACATCACCCCCATACCTACATCTTGGGGTTTGGTCCTCAGTTGACACTCCCTATGCTCTGGGTCTCATCTTGGTTGATCCGGCGGGGGTCCCCTTGAGATTTTGCATACTTTTAAAAGGGTGCCATGACTGAAAAAAAGGTTGCGAAACGTTGGTTTAGACCTCTTTAACAATGAACTGCATAACTACCAAAAGTATTATACCGCCTCCAGCCTTTTATCCAAATTTGAAATGTGCGCGTTGTGTAGTCTGGAAAAACAATTTAAAGGAAAAGTAGAGGGGAAAAAGTACTTGAGCAGTATGGACTAGAATGTTGGAAGGCTGCTTAGTCACTACTGGGGAAGGGGGATTAGGGTGGGGTGAGCTGAACTTACATAGTTACATAGTTACATAGTATTTGAGGTTGAATAAAGACATTAGTCCATCAAGTTCAACCTATTAGGATCTCATTCTAGGAGTACCTGTACCCCTGTATATTACGGTCCTTTAAGAAATCGTCCAAAAGTTTCTTGAACAATTCCACATTATTTGCTGAAATCAGCGCCTGTGGCAGTGAGTTCCAGACCCTAACTGATCTTACTGTGAAGAACCCCCTTCGCCCCTTGTGCTGGAATTTTTTTTCCACCAATTTTAGGTGGTGGCCTCTAGTTTTTGTAATGGAGTTAATTTTAAATAGTTTATCGCCAATGTTGCTACCACCATTGAACATTTTGTACATGGAGATCATATCCCCCCTTAATCTCCTCACCTCCAATGTGAACATGTTTAAATTTAGTAGCCTTGTCTCGTAGCTCTGGTCCTCCATACCCCTAATTAGTTTGGTTGCCCTCCGCTGGACTTTTTCCAACTCAAGGACATCTTTTCTTAGTACTGGTGACCAGAACTGGACC